GAAATTGTGTTGATATCTGGTGAATGCAGTAACCGGGTCATTGCAGCAGATTTCAATGCAAGACATCCTACGAGACCACCCATCACCCATGCTACAGTTAGCAAACTGCTTGCTAAGTTTCGTGAAACTGGTTCAGTGTATACAACAGCACAAACACAGTCCTGAGGTCCAGTTCAGGGACTCCAATTAGCTGAGGTGAAACTGAGCAGGCAGGTCATAAGTGAGGGGTGGGGCAGTTTTCTGCTGGTCTTTAGAAAAAAAATTACAAGTTTAACATTTAAACATCAGCTTTGTATGACCATCTTTTCTCAGCATTAGGCTGATGGCTTGGATCTTCTGGGTAATAATGATCCTAAGCTTACTAGTTGCTGGCGTTGATGGATAGCTGAACTGTTAAACAGGTGGATCACCGGGCTGCCACTTGGCACTACTGAACTGAATGAAATCAGGTTCTTGTATCGCTGGATGACACAGAGGAAGCGTTGGATGCATGTTTAAGTAAAGGACATTTTTGGATGGTTGGATGGATGCCTCCTCTTGCATACGTAAGACACTGAACATCTTCATCCTTTAGTCTAAATGTTACCTTCAGCATTTTTCGGCTTTATTCCCCCTCCATCTCTCCTCCCTGACTCTATTTATAGAGCTTCCATGGTGGAAGCACATAATGAAGAAGAGGATTCCCAGCTCCCTCTCTCACTATCTCAGGTATACACAAAGGCATGTGTTCTCTCTTTCAGTACAGTCAAATATCTCTGGAGGGCTTCTTCATCTCCAGGTTTCAATACAATATTTTTGTGCCAAGTGTGAGTAGTTTTTTTTCTATTTTCTCTCTAAAATTAAACCCACTTTCCTCATAAAAAGAAATACAACTTTAGTTCTAGAAGAAGCTTAATTTTTACACCAAGGAAGTGACTGTGTGCTAATTGCTCTCATTTAAAAGATAAATCAGAAAATTCATACAGTGAGCTGCTCAGTTCGCCTCACAGTTTATATAAACCCTCCTTTTTCCCTTGAACTATATTTAGATTTGGGGTGGTTGTAATCTTCCACTTGTACTCGCAGTCTTACTGTATGTGGAGGTGTCAAGTATCTTCCTGCTCATGATGAGGCTCATCATTATTCCTCTCCATATTTGGGTCACACAGTCCCTATATACTTGATTTGCATAATCAGAGAATACCATATCAGAACTCTCTCCCCTTTGTGTCCTTGGCCCCCCTCCACCCGCTGCTCTCAGATGGAGTTTGATGGTGTGTATTTTATTATGTGGAGCATTAAACCATCTCCCCAGCAGTCAGCTCTTATATGTGAAGCTCTTATCATCATGAATGCATACAGTGGCTGTCGTCACGGGCTGATAAGCTAATAACGTGCATTATTCTGCTTGAGTGTGTAGCTGAACAGCCAGCAGATTATAATGAAGTCATACACGGTATCACCAGAGGGGGTTTCACGCCCCTCACCTGTTTTTCTAATGAGCAGGTCATCAGATTTGCCCCAGAAGCTCGTTAATATTCAGTGTCGACTAGAAACACACTCACGGTCTCGTGCCTCGTTTCTGATCGTGTCAGCAGGAGTGGTGAACACAGCGGCCGTGAGCGTGCCGCCAAACATTCCTGGCTCTGAGGTCCTGACAGCCGTCGCTGATTCCCCAACCCGACGGCTCAGAGCGCCGACCTGCATGTTTCCTGTGCTATAAACAGCTACTGTCTTATGTAATGGGGCTAATTTAACCCTTACAGCCTGAGGGGAGGGGCTGTAGTACAACTCTCAGAACACCCTGAAATATCAAGAGCATGCTGGGTTAGGATCTCATTGTGTGTGCATTAACAGACCTGATGAGGCGCCCTCAGCTGGCAGTGCATCACACTCGTTCCTTTGACCGTAATAAATGGCGGCAAATAGACTTCAGGTTTAGATGGAGCAGATCTTTGACCTGAAGCTTCTGCAGGTGAAGCCTGAACTCCAATACAGCTAAAGTTTTAAACATAAGGCGTCCTCTTAGCTGCTGTTTCACTTAAAGAGTCCTGTCCTGTCTGTTGAGCTTCTTTTTTAAGCCTTTCATTATTGCTCTAAGGTTTCATTCAGCATATTTTTCTTGTTAGCAGCACCAAGTTTATCCAGAGCTGATCAGGATCACCTCACACCAAGAAGGTTCACGCTTTGAATCCTTCTCTAGAGTACTCAGACTTCTCCCCACAGTCCAAAGACATGCATGTTAGGTGAACTGGTGATGCTAAATCATTTGTAGGTGAAACGGTGACAGTTCCATATCAAGTAACAGACTTTCAGGCTGCTGTAACATTAAAGGTGTTTCATTCCCTAAGTGCGTGTGACAAGAAGTGGTACTGTTGTGAGACAGGTACTCTGGTGTGAGGGATTTTTTTTCTTTTATCATATTATAAACTCAGTATTTTTGGTTTCAGACTGTTGGTCAGTGAACATGCTGTTTTGTGCTCTCATAAACCATGTTTCACAGATACTGAGAAAATGTGTGATTTGCTGCTCAGTTTGAAAAAGAAATGTCAGTGAGCCCATTGCCAGACCCTGAGGTACGCCACGAAACATCTGTAACATATGAGAGGACCTAAAATACTACATTTGAATCTTATCTTGAGGTATGATGGGCTGTAAGAGTTTGAAGTCTTGATCTGATGGGTGATTTTAAGGCAGTACTTTTAAAAGAACTAATTTTAAAGGGTGAGCTGTGCAGAGAAGGCTTAATTTCCTCTGAACCCCCTCATTTGAAACAGCAGGCTTCTGTCTGACGTTCCACTGTTTGTGTTGCTGATTCTTCACTCTGCTGCCTTCTGTCTCGTGTAACTTCCTCTTTGTTCACCCATCGCTGAAACGCTGCCGGCTTCAGACCAAATGACAAAAACCTCTTTCTTGGAAATTTTTCCCCACAGAGTTTGTGACAGCTTTGCATATAAATGTGTTTGTGAGTAAATCCTTCCCTGCAGGATTTCCTTTTAAACTGCAGCGCCTCAGCAGGAGCCATCACACTGAAAGAAACCAGAGACGCTTCATATGTTCAAATGAGCTCAGAATTCAAATGAAAATCCAGCTCTGTCCTCCATAAAACTCCTGTCTTTCAGAGAGATCCACAGAGCGATAACAGCCACAGCGTACTCACCCAAACCAGATACACTCTGTTACATACGCATCATCTAACAGGTGAAGAACGCATGTTAATGCACAGACAGGTAGCAGAAAATATATCTTCTCTCTCCTGGGTTCACCTGATGAAGCTCAGAGGGGGGAAATGTTTCAGTAAAGTTAAAAACAAACAAACAAACTATTTAAGGTGACCGACAGTGAGAGATGAGGGTAATTAGAGAGACTGTAAAGAGCATCAGAGGGAGGGAGCAGAGTCCAGCAGATGTCAGGCTTTCACAAGTTTTGTCCTGCAGAGAGCCTGAGAGGAAACCCTTTGATCTCCTCCCGAGGAGACCTCCAGCGGTGATGGTTTCTTCCCCAGGTGACACAAAGCAAACCGCTGGCTTGGTTTCCTCTCTGCAATCTCCTTTGTGCTCTCTAATCCTGTTTCCTTCTCTAAATAAATCCCCAGTGTTAAATCCTCCCAATTCTTTCGATTTTTGGGCTGAAGGAAGGACAATACTCGGTCTATTAAATGCTCAATCAACAATTACTTTATTACATACAATTCAACACTTTTGAGCACAAACCATCCGGACAGGGACACATGCATTCAGAGGGTCACAGTAAATCTCAAAATGGTGGAGGGTCACTCAAACTCTTATAGACTCTGATTGCCCCACCTAGTCGTAAAATCCTAACATTCACATATTTTCTAACTCCTGGCTGAGCCTGACTTATGGCCTTGGCTCCCTGTTTTTCTGCTTGCAGAAAACAGGTGGGGGTGAAAATCCTGTGGAATGTGGTCCGTCTCCTCCATTATCAGAAAACAAGGCCCTCTGCACACAATATGCTCTTCTTAACTCAGCAGTATGAAATGTCATGAAACAGAGTCATTCATTCACAGTAAATCAACAGTATAGGATAATATAAACCTATCTAAGAAATCTAATGATTTTCACATTTTCTTAATTCAGAAGTATAATGTAAACTAAAACTACATACTGATCATACTCACTATAATAAGTATGATGTGGCTTACAGCAGTATAATGATTCACTTATTTCGATTACAGGATAACATATGATAGAATAATAATCTCACACCAGCTTCACTTTCCTGATTTTCCTTTGGAGTGTAGGAAGGCTGTGACCTCCCTCTGTGATCACCTTCATGTATAAAATAGGTAATCGTGTAGTTTAAAGAACACACTGCTCCTTTTGGAGAAAAATCCATGATTTAGGATTTCTGTGCACCAAACACCAGTTTAACTCTCTAAATGTTCTTATTGAAGTTTATCTACAAATTTAAAATGGGGGGCGGGGGGGCTGGAAAACATCAAATGTATTGAAGAAAATTTTATTTTTAAGATAAACACAACAAAGAAAAATAAAGAAAAAATATGGCATTAAAATTAGAAAATTAGTTATTTGAAATAAAATAAATCAGAACGATAATGCACAAATATATATTCATGTGGTAGAAAAACGTTTAAAATGTGACAAAATATTGACAAATTGGACGCACAACATGACCTCTGTTGCAACAACAGGAGGAAGAAGGTTCATCTCACAAATACAAAAAAAAGTTTGAATGAAAAATCATTTGAGGCAAAATAATTTGATCTGATGTTTGAAGCCTGATTCAGCTGCACTTTTACTGCCTCGCGCTCATGCGTCACACTCGGGAGGAAATAAAACTTTGAAAAAGCAGTTTGATTAAAAATGTGATTCAGAGCCGAGATCAAACGCTCACGTCAGGATTTAAATCTAAAAATGTTTCGATTACAAATAAAATATAAAGTTCTGCTTTTATTAGTATATTTTTCCTTTTATTTTCCGGAGAGTCGCTGTGGGAAACCCCTGTGCTCTGAGCATGCGCAGAGCGCCGGCCTGCCCGCGGTAGTTGGAGGAAGTTTGGATGTTTGTTACCTGTGCGCTTGGCGGTTTGTAACGTCACCTCACTGGCCTCAGGTCAGTTTCTGGCCCCCTCCTCCTCCTCCTAGCACTGATTGGAGGGCCACGTGAACCGCGTGCAGCTAAAAAAAACGGAAAAGAGAGCGCGCGCGGCGGGTAACCGCGAGTTTGAAGAGTAACTCAGGTGTTTTCAGGTGCGTATAGGTTTCAGTTTGCGTCGGAGGGGTGTGTGTGTGTGTGTGTGCGCGCGCGCGCGTGCGTGTGGGTGTGATTGTTTGTTTGTTTGTTTGTTTTGATCAGTCTCTGCTCTCTTCCAGCAGAATGAGCTCCTCGGCTGATCTGGAGCAGCTGGCAGAAATCGGTGAGTGTGCAGCGGCTTTCCAGGTCCTGGTTTGTCAGGTGCTTTCCTGGAAACTTCTCAGAGCTTCCTGTAGTAGGGGGAGGGGGGTGTTGTATTGACTCTGTGGTTGGTGAGGTAGCTCTGAGAGCTTTTCTAGTCGTGTTTGTGGCTGTGTCATGTAGATTGTAAAACACACTGGGCTCTGCAGTAAGGTTGAATGTAAACAGAGAGGAGAGCAGATGTTTGCAGGCTTAGGGACGTGGTGATGTTCTACCTGGTGGTTAGCTGCATGTTGGAGGGTCAGCTGCTCACAGTACATGTTCATACTGATGTTCTCTAATGAGGGGAAACGACAGACCGTTACAGACAGCGTTTGAGATGATCCACAGCAGGAGGTCCGGCTTTAATCTGCTGCTGCGTGTTTCACTCTCTGAGGAAGTCCTCATCCTCAGCTTCATCTTCAATGAAGTCTGAGTTGGCCTGAGAAGAGTTCAGATGTTAGGAGTCGGTGTTGCTGTGAGCCCACATTAATGTAACAGAGCAGCACATGGCTGTGCTTCACTGTGAGGTGCAAGGAAAATGATTCGTGGGGTTCAGACGTTTTTAGTAAAAATCTGAGAAGCATGTGAGTTCAGCTGTCTGGAGCTCGTTTGTGAGTGGCTTGATTCGGGTCTAGACTTGTATCTGAGCGTTTCTCTGCAGCACCTGTTTTACCTCTGTCCACCTTCTCATCTGCCTGCTGGAGACGAGCACGATGCTCCGTTAGGTTCATGTGCAGTGTTGGGTTTGTGTTTTGGTCTCATGTGACCAGAGCCCCTGCTGTGTGTCTTGTACTTGAGGCTGACTCTAGTCTTCTCAACATTCTTGTTCGTATGGATCTAAGTTCAAGCCTTTGACACTCTCTCACTCCATCCTTCTAAACAGACTTTCCTCTCTTGGCATCTCTGACACACCTCTAGCCTGCTTCCAATCATATCGCCTTGACCGCTCCCAGTTTATCCAACTTAAATCATTCTGCTCTCGTCTATTCCCAGTCACTACTGGTGTACCCTAAGGTTCAGTCTTAGGCCCTCTTCTCTTCATAATATACATCCTCCCTCTTGGTACCATTTTAAAGTTGATCTCTACTTTCACTGTTTTGCTGGTAGCACCCAGTTATATCTCTCCCGCAGGTCTGATTCCTCCCTCCAACTTCTTCTATTACAGATTACTTATCCCAGTTAAAATCCTGGTTCAGCTCCAATTTTCTTAAGCTCAATGAGGATAAAACTAAAATTCTACTTATTGGCACTAGATCCAACCTACTGAAGGCAAATCATTTCACTCACTATTGACAACTCCACAGTTTTCCCTTCACATCAGGTTAAGAGCCTTGGTGTTATCCTTGACATCTCACTATCCTATAAATTGCAGACCAATGATCTCACCCGTTCACATCCTTCTCTTCCGACTCAGTCTGTGTCCATTCTTGTTCATAGTCTTGTTACCTCCCACAGTGACTATTGTAATTTTCTCTTACATGGTCTCACACAAAAATCCCTTCATAAGCTTCAACTGTTTCAAAACTCCGCTGCCCGCATTATTACCAGAACCCCCTCCTACCAGCGCATCACCCTTGTCCTTCAGGAACTTCACTTGCTTCCTGTGAAATTCAGAATAGTATTCAAGCTTCTTCTGTTCACCTTCAAGGCCCTTCATAACCTTGCTCCTCCTTACCTTTCAGACCTGTTAAGCACCACCTCTTCTGCTCGCTCAATTCCATCTTTTTCTTTTATCCAACTTGCTCTGCCTTCTTTTCGCCTCTTTCTGTATGAACTTATTGTTTGTTTATTTTATCTTGTTTTTTTATTGGTCTTAGTTTTGTCATTGTTGTGTTTTACTCTGTTAAGTGTCCTTGGGTGTCTTGAAAGGCGCTTTTAAATAAAATTTGTTGTTATTATTATTATGATTATTATAACTGATGACCTGTGGACAGACTGTGGATCTCTGCAGCTGCTCCACAGTGACTGTGTGCCTCTCAGCCATTGCTTACTCTTCCTGTGGATGATGGAGTGAGTGGATCTCTGTGAGGCTCTCAAAGCCTGAGATGTTTATAACCTCCGCTCCTTCAAACCCACCTGCTGTTTGTTCACTGCTGTTCTTTCAGGAACCTCTGAGGCTGTCACAGAACAGCTGGACAGAGGTGACCTGTGGGTGTCCTGTTAGTGATCTGCGTTTGATCCTGGGGTCTCAGAGGAAAAGAGGCTGAAAATAAATGCACGCCACACGTTTCAGATTTTTATTTGTAGAAATATTTGAACAGCATGAGTCATTTTCCTCTTCAGGTCATTGTCACTGTGCTGTCCGGTCACATAAATAACACACGTGTCAGTTAGAAATGGATCGATGGAAGCACAGCGGTCTGAGTTGGCCTGCGGTCACAGGACGCTGGCACACTTTAAAACCTGCAGACGAAGCTTTTGGTTTCTCCAGCAGGAAAACTACAGCCCAGCGGCCTGGCTCTGATTGTTGGGCACCTCCTGCTCGGGGCTAAAGTCGGCCTTTGTGCGCTTGGGTCACTTCCTGTCTGTTATCAACCTTGCTGTGTGTTTACAACAAACTTCCCGAGCACAGATTACAGCTCCAGTTTCCACCCTGATAATCACTGATCTCAGGAAGTCATCTCGGAAATGGGCGGAGCTACACGTTTGGAATTCAGAACTAATCGCCGGTCATTTCTAAAAACTCAAAACTCAGGTGATGATGATGATAGTGATGATGATGTGTGTAACTGTGTTTGGATAGTCTTTGTGAAGCTGTGTCTGAGGTTGGGACCTCTGAGGGCAGCCTGACTTGAACATGGAGACCGAGAGCAGCAGATAAGACCTTGATGAGGTCAGGAGCAGGTTCCTGTTACCAGTCTGGCTCGAGTCTCATGAATGAGGCGAAGTTATCAGCTGTTGACCAATCAGAAACAGATCTTCTGATAGCAGAGAGACTGATGTTACAGAGAAAGCTAAGATTAGAAATTGTGAAACAGTAACTTCAGGTCTGTGTCAGTAACGTCAGAGGAATGTCCAGAAGTGGAACTGCTGTGACGGGGAAACACTGATGTGTAATTTCTTCTCCTCAGGTTCATAAATGAGCAATTTATCACATGTGATTATTCTCAGGCTAAACTTTGACTTCTTCAAAGGAGAGGGGAGCAGCTTGGTGTCATATCAGGGTTATTACAGTTTTTTCTGATGGCTCAAGCACATTTTTTGTAACTATTGGCTATTTTTGCAAAACTCTACACACAAATAAGAAAACCCTTCACCCAATTAGCAAAACATTGTAGTTTTCTTGTAAAAGTGAATAACCCTTGCTTAACTCTCCACACCTTTTGTAAAAATGGTATTTTTGTATCCAACAATTAACACAAGCCATCATATTAATAAGCACACAATGCACCAACTAAACACTGATGGTATGAATAAAAAACACATCTGGCTTTTGCTTTCTCTGTGCACAAGGTAGGCTATGTCAGTTTGAGCTCATACTTTTGTCATAGGTCTGTAAACATGGAGGGATCCAAACTTCTTCAAGTACTGGTGTTTATTTACACACATCAAAACAAACACAAGTGTTTATTTCCAAGTATAGGATTATTTGCAATCGCCATATTGACTATATGGGTTTCTTGGTCTGCAGTGAACATGCTTCCTTTGCCCCAACATCTGGTCATCTAGCAATTCTGTAAAGTAACAATTTCAGTATTTTACATCTATGGTATTGTTGTGTTTCTCATTGGCATATGGCAGTGCTACAGATCTTAGTGCAAAGTGACTGTACTAACTGATTCTCATTTCAAAATGTCCTTATGATGCTTGCTACAGAGTAGTGGCTCGAGTTAGGCTGAACCCGTCGGCCAGCTTCCCTCAGGGTCATTCCACGGTTGAATACATGGTCCACTATTGTAGCTCTGATGTCATCAGCAATTCTATTTCTTACTCTTCTTACCCTTCCTCTCCCCCCTCCTCGTCCTCTCCCCCTTGTCCTTGTCGTCCTCTTCATCCTACTACTTCACCTCCACGTCCTCTTGCTCGGCCTCCTCTACTTCTCACTCTTCCTGCTCCCTCCATTGTACTCCACACAGAGCTTACCTGTATTATAGTGCTTAGGCTGATTGCAAAGTGAACTAATTATCTAAAAAAGTTTTCACATGTGACAGTGTGCCAGACAGTTGGCAAAATAGTGTAAATAATGGCCGTAAATGTGTATAGTTTTGCTAGGAGTGCGTTGATCATTTGGGAATTGAGTGTAAAGCAGTGAGTTGTGTTTACAGTTCTGCAAAAAGATTGCTGTGCAGTGGATTGTAGCTACAGGTTTGCAAAGTGTGTGTTACAAAATGGCAAACTGAGTGCAAAGCAGTGTTTGTGCTTTTAGTTTTGCAAACTCAGTGAGTGGTTTTTCTATAAGTATTAATAGTTTTAGAAATTGTGCTATAAGAATCACAGTTAGGGTTTAAGCATTCAGAAAAAACTGTAATCAGAATTTATAGCTCACACGGAAGCTGACGAGTGTCACACCCACTTCACACTTTACTACAGACACAATGGTGAGGTCATTTTCCAGAGATCTGATTGGTCAGTTACTTTTTTTAATCTCAAATATAACCAGTGGTTACATCTGCAGGTTTTTATTGTGAAGGATCTTCTGTTACTGACTAAATGTGGAAGCTCCTGATGGATCAGCTGATCAGTCAGCTGTAAAGGAAAACTTTAAAGAGTTCAAATGCATCTCAGACACATGCAGGCAGGCAGAGACGCACAAAGGCACACATACACTCAATCAGACAGACAGACACTGTCGGTGTGAGTTACTCAGGTGGTTCTTCCTCTAACAGAGCTGCAGAAGGGGGAGGGGGGCAGTTGTGTCACAGACGGTCCATCAGCTCCTCCAGTCAGCACACCAAGTCTCGACCCCTCCCACCCGTATTACGACGTGGCTCGACACGGCATCATCCAGGTTTCGGGTAAGCTCCCCTTAAGTCAACCAGTTCAGAACGATCCGCCAAGGCTAATGATCTGCTAATATTCTCGCTGTTTTTGGTTCCAGGGGACGACCACTACGGCAGGAAGCTGATTGTCTTTAGCAGCTGCTGCCTACCACCTTCGCACCAGCTGAATCACCACCGCCTGCTCGAGTGAGTCCATGTTGCAGCCTGCCATGGTCAGAGACGTACAGGTCCTCTGTGGTTGGTTTTCACAATGTTCTCTGTCTGCAGGTACCTGAAGTTCACACTGGACCAGTATGTGGAGATGGACTACATCCTGGTGTACTTCCACTATGGCCTGAGGAGCAGCAACAAGCCGTCTCTCAAGTGGTTACGAGAGGCTTACGGCGAGTTCGACAGGAAGTAGGTCACCTCAATTTCTTGTAGTCTTTATGAGTCAAGTTCAGCGCTTTATTGCAGAGCCCAGAGACTGATCCAGCAGCTCACAGACCAGAACCTCAAGTTCAGGTCTGCTACAGAGCATGCTCAGTGTGACATCAGAGTGAGTGGAGCAGCTGCACCATCAGCTCCTATACAGCAGGAAACCCTTTCAGACCCTCCACAGTTTACTCCGAGCTTCAGTCTCAGAGACATTTTAGCGTTTCTGTGGAGAACTAGAACCTCCAGCTTTACTCCAGCCTTCAGTCAGAGGAGGTAACAGCCGCCGGGGTCTACAGGTTGGGCGGTCGATCAGTTTTGCATTCAACTCGATTCAATCCGATTCTATTTATTTGGACCTTTTAATTGTAAAAGTGCAAAAACTGACCTTTTAAAAAATGTGGTTGCAGGCTCGGCACTGAGGGACATATCTGCACCTCTTTAGCTCTTCAAATGTGCTTAAAGTTGTGTTGAGGTGCAGTAATGAGTCCTGAGGGGTGCATCAGGGTCGATTCTACCTGTTCACCTGTCTCTGAGAAGTGGTATCGGTCAGGTTACCGTGGTATCACGAACCGTCAGGGAGAGCCACAGATCATGGGCCGAGACCCAGACTGCTCTTTTTAGTGGATTATTCAGCAGGTGTGTTCACATGTGTTTCAGGTACAAGAAGAACCTGAAGGCTCTGTATGTTGTCCATCCCACCAACTTCATCCGAATCGTCTGGAACCTTTTCAAACCTCTGATCAGGTACAGATGTACCAGAGCACACCTGAGGCTTAGCAGGAAGTTCTCTAGCTGCTCTCGGTCACGCTGCAGCTGATTCTTCTTTTCTTGTTCTGTTTGCAGTCACAAGTTTGGGAGGAAGCTGACGTATGTGAACTACTTGGCTGAGCTTCGGGAACACCTGAACTACGAGCAGCTCTTCATCCCCCCGGAAGTGCTCAGGTCGGTGTTCCTCGGCTCGGACGCCCAACGGCTCCTCATCGTGTTCCTCACCGTGTTTGTCGTCTCTCCACAGACATGACGAGGAGCTGCGAGCGACTCAGAAAGGAGGACCCCCGCCCTCTGTGAAAACACCCCCGCCCCGGCCCCCACTGCCCACCCAGCAGTTCGGCGTTAGTCTTCAGTAGTGAGTGTCACTCTGTAGTTTAGTCGATCGCTAACGAGCAGTTTTAATCAATGAAACGTGTTTTCTGACAGCATCAGAGAGAAGAACCGAGAGGCCGTCATCCCACCTGTGATGACCCAGACTGTCACATACCTGAAGGAGAAAGGTGAGGCTTCATCTCAGAACAGTGAGTTCAGGGTCACCTGATCCAGTTGAGAGCTCTGTCTGGATAGTCAGATAAAGTGAGGTCAGTAAGGTGAGACCCGTGATCAGAGTTTGAGGAGATGATCTGCAGTCGACTGTAAACCGGAGAAAAACAGTTTTCAGCTGATGTCAGTGAATGCATCACGGTGTGTTTCAGGTCTGAGGACCGAGGGGCTCTTCAGGCGATCGGCTCGGGTTCAGCTCATTAAGGAAGTACAGAAACTCTACAACCTGGGTGAGTGGGGTCTCCCTGCCTCAGCAGAAGGGGCTCTCTGATCTCTCAGATCGTCAGAAAAAAAAAAAACAGACAGGAAGTCATGCTGAGGCCAACGTTGCATTAAATGAACTTCCTGCCGTGTGAGGCGACGCCTTCAGATGGAGATAACTGTGAGAAATGGGAAACAGCTTGTGTTCATGAACGTAACATTTAGCATGACATCAGCATGATCACAGATCAATCTCCAGGTGATCGATCGATGACAGCAGCTCCTGGTGATTCCGATTCATGATTTTACTGTACTGATCACCCAAAAAACCTCTTCAGTCCTTTTTCCACTCATATAAGCTACACTGCTGTAGTTCTAATTTATTAATGTTATTTTATGAAGTTTGATTATATTTATCTTATGTATTATTTTTTGTTTCTTATAGTTTGATTTTTGTTTCCATTTTTTTTCTATTGGGCTATTTTTTATTTTATTTTCATATCTTCATTTTTAAAATTTGTGTCAGTGTGTGATTTTGTGGATAAATTTGAGTTCAGGATCTGTGAAAAATAGCATTGTCAATAAAGTTGACTTTATTTAAACTCATGCAGGGAAGCCGGTGAACTTCGAGCAGATAGGAGACGTGCACGTTCCCGCCGTGATCCTGAAGACATTCCTCAGAGAGCTTCCTGAGCCATTGCTCACCTTCCGGGTCTACAGCCAGGTCCAGGAGCTGCTCCGTGAGTCCCGCACTTTCGCATTTGTGCAGGAGAAGAAGAAATAGGGGCTGTGTTCTCTGGAGACTAAAGTGGTTTTTGATTGGTTGCAGATGTGGAGAGCAGTCTGCGGGTGACCCGATGCAAACAGATCGTTGAGAGTCTACCTGAACATAATTTCATTGTGGCAAAGTACCTGCTGTGCTTCCTGCACCAGGTGAGTCACAGCTCAGATGAGTCTGAGAAGCACTGATCAGGAGGTGATCGATCAGACACACAAACAGCTGATTGGAGCAAACAGATTTTTATTGCTGTAAAGTTGAGACTGTAAACAGAGACGGCTGGTCAAATTTGTAAAATGAAGCAGTCTCAGCAGCTGATTTACATACTTGTGACGTCACATATGAAATGACTCAAACATCAACGCCTTTGAATATGGAAATAAGTTACAATAAAAATCATCTTAAATATACAAAAACATCATTTGATCTGTCGGACTTGTTTGTGTATCGGTGACTTTACTCTAACAGTGAGACACCACTGCCACCAGCAGGTCAAACTGAATGCTGCAGCACCTTTCCAGTTTGTTGATATGTTTTCTGTTCCCTCTCTCTCGCCTGTGCGGCGCCCCCTTCAGGTGTCTCAGGAAAGCATCATAAACAAGATGTCTCCATCTAACTTAGCGTGTGTTTTTGGCGTGAACCTGGTCTGGCCTCGTCAC